TCTCTTGTATAAAATTAATGATTATATATATATATATATATCAAAGTATACAGTATAAAATACGAAAAGATAAAACTATTGTGCCATCGAATTGCAACATTACGAGTTTATTCGTATCCTTTTTTTTGGCGATAAATTCCTCGTCATCAGAGAAACGATTTTACATTCACCTATACGATAGCCTAACACGTGTAAAATGATATGGCAATCAATCCAAGCTAACCATCCACTAAAGTAACATGTCTGCGCATAGCTTTCCTATCCCCAGTGTCCTCATCCACGCGCAATCCCTTTGGAGCTGAACCGTCGGTATAAATCAAGGTTATTAGAGGCATCATATTCGCCGTAGTAGCCCCATGTCGGTAATTTTGTATCAAATTGTGGTGGAATAAATTGCGGCATACTATAGTCGGGATCACCGGTGAAACTCTTAATGATGACACGATGCTTTTAATAGTAATGTGTGTATTTTGTGCGTGTATAGTAATAATTATAATTAAAATCATTACTCTTTACGATCTTTATCAATCGCAAATCTTTGTTTTCTTTTCTTTTTTTCTTTGCCTACTAAATATAGATTTCAGAGTGATATTTATAAAATATTCTTGTAGATTTTATCATTTATTTTTTTATCATATTAATTAATTATGAGAATTTAATGTCTTTGCGAAAAGTCATTGCGAGAGTTTCTCACTAACATCGGACGGAGGATAATAGGATTCGTGTGTTCGTCTGCGCAGTACAACTCGAATTGCCGTTCAGCAGTGAGATATTTTGTTCTTTAGATCGAACAATGTGGTTCGCTTTGCAATGTGGAACGAATGCAGCGTCGATATCGGTTAAAGGGTTGAGCGCTCGTGCCGCGACACGTGAATTCGAGTCCCGGTTGCCTGGAGGGTTCACTCTGAGCCATCCCCGGTGACTCGCCGTCGAGTCACGTGCACACGACTGTCGCCGTGCATGTATCATCGTGTATCTCCTCTGTCATGTGCACGCAACGTCCAGCGCTCCGTTACAATGTGATATAGTATGAAATACTATTCCCTCTTCCTTTATCTTTCTCCTTGTTTGCCTTTGTGTTTGCGCGTTTGTCGCTCGCATTCGTGCTTCACCCTCCGGGGTTCACATCTCTTATATCGAATTCGATTGGTACTGTGATAGATACAATTGAATAGTCAGATTTGCCATAAGAGATGTCTATTAGTTGTGACATAAAAAAAAAAATGGAAGAGATTTTGATAAATTTAGAAGAATCGAGAAAGATTTAACGAGAAAAGAGAGACACTTAGAAAGATATACGAAAAATATCTAATTTACATCAAATCGAATATGACAGATATAATTATACGTATTCCAAATTATACTTTTATTTTAGAAGTTTGATTTGCATAAAAAACAAATTCTCTTTATGTCCATATACATACATATAGTACATTTACTGCTATAGGTATAACATTAACAACAAAATATTTTGTCTGAATGGGAAAATAATTGCTCTTACGTCAGTATGATGCTTTGGAAATAGTAGTCAGAAACAGATTCTCTATTAGCTCCCTTTTTCTTTCATTTTTTTTTCCTTTTTTTTTTATTCCTTTTTTTTTTTAATAACACCTGCGCATTCGTACAAGGTGGAATCGAACGATCCCGTTACTAAGGCTGCCTGTTGCAAATAACGGATTATCTTCGAGGGTGTCAGGTGCTAGTTCAATCTGAACCGATCGCAATTCAATTTCAACATTCGCTCAACCCGCTAACCGACTACGAGCGACCAGTTTGCAATTTACGTGATGCCGTAACTTTGTCAAAGTTACTCGGGCAAAATTTCAGAATATCCGTAATTCATAATGCTAATCGACATTTTTACACAATGTCGATCGAGGCTGTGCTAATTGCATAACTACATTTTCGAAAATATTTGATACAAATTTTTTGCTATTTATTGTTTCAGACGGTGTCAATCTCGATGTTATTGCGCTACTCGCATCATCAGATCTTTGTCTTTATCGGTGAGTGATACAATTTTAAACATTTTAATAAAGTGAAATATTTTTATAGTTATTTTTACCGTTATCAAAGAAAGAAATAGTACAAGATACAAACAAAACAAATTGATTATTTTGATTTGACAATTTGATTAACGGATTTGGGGGAGAGGGAGAGTTATACTTCATAAATAATATTCAGATAAAAATCGAAGTTCTATTAATGATTCGTTTAATCAGCACATTTATTATACTTTATGAGCACGGTGTATGTCCAGAAAGGGTTTAAGGAATTTAATCCTTCTAAAATCTCCTCTAAAAATTAAAAAAATTATTTCCGCAATGTAATGGCAGAAAATCGTCTAAAAGTATGTCTCTTCATCATTCATTTATATCGATTCATCGAGATATTATTGTAAAAATATGTTGAATTGCTTTGAGAAAAAAATTGTCACATAATTTTTTAATTTTATAAATTATATCGAATGATTTTCTTTATTTTATTTATGTATCATTCCTCTCTTTTTGTTAACTTAAACTTAACGTCACATTTTTAATATAATAATAGCAATATCTTGTAGAAGGCCTTTTTCTATTCTTTTCTAAATTAAAAAAAGAATTTTTAGTTAGGAAAATAATTATGAATATTTTGTAATATATACGTAATAATAACAGTAGTATTAAAGAATTATACATTTTGTTTTTAATATACTGTATCTCTGTACTTTGTCTATATTTCCTTTAGGAAACAAAACTGTCTAATCAATTTTGTATATACTTATTTATAGTGTTAATGTAATTGTTGAAGAGGACTCTAATGGATTGAAACGTTTAATTAATTGTTACATACAATAAATTACATCGCAACAATATCTAGCTTAGGCTTCTAAAGGCTTTTATTTTTATTTAATTTATTTCATTAGAGCCTATATAATTTGTTTAAAAAAATAAAAGTTTTTAATTTATAAAATAATATTTTTCCCATTAAAAATCAAGAGAAGAAGAGACATTTTAAGATCCAAAAGAGCTTTAAAATTTAAAAGAGCAAATTTAATTAACGCATTGCTGTTTATATGATAACAAAATTGATAAAAATCTTCCTGAAAAGAATATGTTCATGAATAAAAAAAAGTGCAGATAAAGATTAAAGTTCTATTGGTAATTTGTTTAGTTAGCATATTTTGTAAGTTTATTTTTTTCAGCTAATTAAACAACGTTTCTTATTTTGTAGTGGAATTAGCTACTTAAAATTAACACAATTCTAAACCCGAAATTGATATTATTATGAATACATTGATTTAAGAAGATATTATAAAGTTTAATTGATGTTTATACAAATATTTCGCATGTATGTACTAGTATGTGTTGTTTAAGCAAACTACGATCAAATCTCTTCTGTAAAAATTATAGAAAGAATTTTATGACTTTCGTACACTTCTTTTCTTTGATATAATTGACGATGTAGAGAACGAAACTTTTTATAGAAACTTTCTGTACCGAAACTATACGTTTCGCGGATTATTTGCATGTCCATTATTAAAATGCCAATGTTTCGTGAACATTGCAGTTCACTTCGTCAAGACGAGGGAGACAATCTGATACTGAATACTGAGTAGCTTACTCTACTAGATACAGAGATAAACCGCGAAACATGTAGCTTCTATAAAAGAATGAAATTTTCATTTCGCACAATTTCGTTTTTTAATCTCTGCATTAATTATTTCTATTTGTTAAGCCTAGTCAGATATATATAATAAGTCCATTATTTACTACACGCAAGTGTAGTTTGCAAGACATGCATGACGATTAATCATTACAAACTATTTTTCTATCAAAAATGTCCTGAATTTTTATTTAAACGTGAAATAAATTTTTTTAAATTAAATTATTAATAGTTGACTTTTTTTTAGTATACATGGTATATCGAAAAGCATACACATTTTAATCGATTAATGTCCATTTTTACTAATGTAAATTAACTTTAATAGTTAAGAGTTTAATTTTTTTACTTTTTATCTTTTTCTAATTCTTAGAACTAGAAAAAGATAAAACGTAAGTTAAACCGAGATTAAAATTAATTTGATACAAATAGACATGATATAGGTTTGTGCAATTAGTGATGTAACCTGTATCATTGCGATAATACTAAGAGGCGTTTCTCCCTCCCATCTTTGTTTCATTCACTATAAGATCCGCGCAACATATGTATATTTATAACGTTCTACGCCGCGTCCGACGAAACATCTCGTTTATTTGTTATACTCTTACATCACGATGAATTTATTCTTGTTTTCGTCGCCCCTTGTGCTATTATTAACTAGTTTGATTATCATTGGCATCTTCAAAGTTGTCACTGTGTTGCGTCATATACATTTTTATTGGAGAAATAAGGGCGTACCTTACCTGCCAGATTCGCTATCGACTGGTATAATGGGTTGGAAATTGTTTCTGCGTCGCATCACTTTTTCCGATTATTGCAAATATCTGTACAATCACTTCTCAAACGCTAAATATGTTGGAATAATGGATTTTGCTACACCTAGCGTGCTATTACGCGATCCTGAGTTGATTAGAGATGTCATGGTGAGGGATTTTGAACATTTTCCGGATCATCGCAGTTTTGTTGACGAAAGCGTAGAACCGCTGTTTGGCAAGAACATCTTTTCTTTGCGCGGAGATCGTTGGAAAGAAATGAGGAATACATTAAGCCCCTCTTTCACTGCTAGTAAGATGAAGTTTATGTTTGATTTGATATCGAAATGCTCTCATGACTTTGTTGATTATTTGGTTGACCATCCCGAAATCTGTGATGCGATTGAAATGAAGGGAGCATTCAGACGGTACACCAATGATGTAATCGCTACGGCAGCCTTTGGCATAAGCGTGAATTCTATGAAGGATCAAAACAACGAATTTTATACGAGAGGAGTGGAAGCTACTAAATTTTCTGCTGGATTGTTAGCAATAGTCAAGTTCATATTTATACGTATATGTCCATCATTCTGTAAATCAATTGGATTGACCGTTTTTTCATCAGATACGTCCAAATTTTTCAAGAAGATCGTGGAAGAAACGATTAGAACGCGGAAAGAGCAAGATATCGTCAGACCGGATATGATTCATTTACTAATGCAGGCTCAAAACAAGGAAGGTACCAGTGTACATAAAATGACATTGGATGACATCGTTTCGCAAGCGTTCATTTTTTTTCTTGCTGGTTTTGACACATCTTCGACATTGATGTGTTTCGTTGCTCACGAACTGGCAGTTAATCAAGATATTCAGGATCGTTTGCGCAAAGAGGTACAACAACATCTTACCGAAGGAAACGATGAGATTTCTTACGAATCGCTGTCGAAAATGTCTTATATGGATTTGATAATTTCCGAGACTCTCAGAAAGTATCCACCAGTCATCTTCATCGATAGACTTTGTGCTAAGAGATACGAACTGCCTCCGTCGCAACCAGGCTGCAAGAATGTCATTGTTGAACCTAACAGTATATTGATGTTTCCTGTTTATGCTTTACATCACGATCCAGAATACTTCCCGAATCCAGATAAGTTCGATCCCGAAAGATTCAGTGATGAGAACAAAGATAAAATTTTACCATATACTTATCTACCATTCGGTCATGGACCTAGAAAATGTATTGGTAATCGATTTGCTTTAATGGAAACTAAGATTCTGATAGCTCATCTTTTACTAAAATTTACTCTGAAGATTACGGAAAAAACTATTGAACCAATCGTATTTGATAAAAGAGAATTTACGTTGCAACCTGTTGGTGGATTCTGGATTGGCTTGGAGAAGAGAGAAACGTGAAAATCTCTCACGTTATTCTATGATTTATGTATTTATGGAAAAGTATCACTTTCAAGTTTCAAGATATTTAACGCGTGAATGTACTTTAGCAAAGTATTAAAATATACAATAAGATTTATTATGATATATTACGTTTTCATACAAGGTTCAAGTTTTTGTTAATAAAGCAAAATTTAAATATTACGATAAATACTGTGACTTGCGTAAGATCTCGAGTTTACTCGATTGTGTTAGTCATTTTTAATGACTTACATAACTTCTACTTGTCATTCTAAACACTAATAGAGATGATAAAGACGAGATATTATTAATTTTTTATACAATTTTATATATATTTTATATAAAAGCGAATATTCTTTGTCACACAAACGTTTTTCGCGTTTTTTATTTTTGAGATAATTTCTTAATTGTTTCTTTATTATGAATTTTGCAATTTGTTGTAAATTTAATTCAATGTTACATTTTATAAGTATAATATACAATATCATTAATGTCTAGTGCAATACACTGGTGCAATATGCTTATGTAATGTGCTATATTATTACATACCGTATATGCATTTATATATATACACACACACACACACACACACACACACACACACACACACACACACACACACACACACACACACACACACACACACATATATTTTTTTTCATAATACATTTAAATAATATTTTTTTAATTAATAGGATTTTGAAAGTTCTAATAAAATCGAAAATAATTATTGTTATATCAGTTATATAAATAAAAATAAGTCCATTATAATATATTTAAATAATGCTTTTGTCACTTTTTATGTATCTGATACGTTTCAGAGATTACTAATCAGATATGATGCATTTTCTGAGATTAGACATTGAAGATAAAAAAATTTAAGGAAACAGTCCATTATATCTAGTCAATACAAACTGCGCAGATAGTTATTTGCACAAATATTTGCAATAAGCATTTGTTTGTTGTTATTGATTATTTTTCTTGTTATTATGTTATTTCTTTAATATTAAGAATTTTTTTTAATGGAGCTATAGAAATATAATGCTTTTGTTATATTGTTATCTGAAAGAGTGATAAGATAATGAAAATCAGATAAACTGAAATTACTTGTCGCTACAATGTTCTTGAACTTGAAAGTCAAATATATAAATGCAATTTATCTTTTAAAAATTATACGTTGTATTTTTACTTTATTTTCCTTTTTACTCTTATATTTCATAATTAGCATTGATCTTATTGATTTTTTTTACATTTTTTTGTTAAAAATATTACTGTACGAAAATTAATTTCAAACATATTTTAAGCGTTTTTAATATTTATAATTACTTTAATATTATAATATTATACAATAATATAGTTAGTACTGTTTTGTAACTTAAATAATATTTAAGACAATATTCAACACTCGAATCTTTTTATTTTCTATAAGTGATTTTTCAATGTGATTACAAATGGTTAAAAACTTGCAATTTCATATTTAAATCACATTTAAAAATAATCGATTAGTTATTATATTTTTTATAGTATACTATATATGATTCTTCGAAACAATAGTTATTAAGTAAGTGATTTTTGAAAAGACTTAATTATTGGCGAAAAAGTTTTTATTTCAATTTAATTATTGTTTTCGGTAAGTTTGATAAAATAACGCGTGCTTGATGATTTTTTATGACCAGTTTCGGAATTAGCTTAAAAAAAGAAAGGGAAACCTGAAAGTTTAAACAAAGGCATCGAAGAAAGTTATTTTCGCAGGTTAATCGTTTGAAATACAAATTTACATAGAAAAACAACGTGAAGAGCAGCATGCCTTCTTCCATTTACGAGTTTGGGTGTTTCATATCAGACAATTTGTGTTTCGCTTATTTTCCATTTTTTATTCATGCTTACGATATTTTTGCTTAGAAGTCTATTTTTGTTAATAACAACATTCTTAGATTTTCTGCTTTTCATGTTTTTTTTATTTATATTTTCTGATTAAATTATTTCGAATGTACAATTAATTTTGCTTTCAAAAATTAAAGTGACAAGTGTTAAGATTACTTATTAACTTATCCACACATACAAAAACCTACGTTAAGAGAGATTTACTTATATAAAACATTTAATTTTTTTATTATATATCTATTTTGTATTATATATCTATGATATTTATTTATATATGACTCAAAATTAAATATTTATAGGATCTGTTTATATAAATACTTTATTATAATTATTTACTTATACTAAGTATTATATTTGCGTATTTAATCAGAGTAAAATGGATTTAAAAAATTGCATTGTTTTATTTGAAATTTTCACATAAAATTGAAATACATTGTTTCACATGCCTCGGTAAATCGAATTAGTAAAACGTTACGAAATGAAGAAAATTGAGATTTCCTTTGAATCTTAGCGGGGGTAACGTTTTCCGTTTTCTTTACAATATTTTAAAAATGCTTTAGCATTATGCTCATTAATAATAAATTGCTTGTCAATTTAATTTCGCAATTTAATTTGTGATTCCAGCTTAGGATTGTTTCAAGACTGATAAATATTATAATATAATCGGTTTGCTTAATCGCAGTTTGCTTAAACCAGTAATTGTGAAAATTTATACAAAAAGATTATTAGGCATCAAGATCTGTTTTGACCGAATGTAGTCTTTTTTACTTATTGTGTGTTAAAAATTTCTCGCTCAATTTTCGCTGACTATTGTTTGCATTATTTTGAATTTTTTAGTTGGATATTTTTTAAAGATTTTTGCTTCCAATATTGGTGTCAAATGTAGAGCGTGATTGAGCCGAAAAATTACGTATTCGTTCTTTACAAAAATTAAAGATGCATAATTCTATATAAATTTTGTATTAAATTTTCTTATTAAATATTGAATAAATTACGATATCGTTAATATCGGCAAATCGAAGCTTAATATAATTAACTTGCAAGCTGTTTAAGACACGAGCTTTACAACTGCTTTCTGTACTGTATATAATGTATTTAATATAATGTATTCGGTCTAATTAGAGCAGAAGCGAATGGATAGAGAGCGGTTAAGATAAAAAAGATAAAAAGAATAAATGTAAAAGATATACGTGATGCTGGTTAGAGAGGGGATTATGCAGGACGAAGGATTGCAGCAAGTTTTAATAACTGGAGGGTAGAGAGTTAGTAGGTGATAAGTTAAAATCTAAAATTCATTAAATTGAACCAGGAGTGTCGCGCAAATTTGTAAAGTACAACACTGTGTATCCTATAAAGAAGGCGCTGCTCGCGGTGGGTCATCTAGGACGAGTGACGGTATTAACTTTTTAATTGCTTTGTTATATCCATGGCAGGCGCGACACGGAACGATGCGATTATGAATTTTTAATCTATTCTTGAGTCTTGACTTTCCGTCTTGCAAGATGACGTTGCAGATTATTCAAAGAAGTCGTAAACACAAAATTGTCACGCTCCTAAATCTCTATCAATCTCTATATTGAATAACGGTTAATAAATACTTTGAACGATTATAATGTATCTTCTAATGTATTTACCGGAAAGATGGAAGTGAGAAATAAATCAATATTAAATATGCGAGGAGTGCTTAAAACGTCGATAGAAAGTTCCGTGGAATTTAAATCAGGATTAATGAAGTTTCGAAATTAATTCGTATCAAGTTTTGAGTTTACGTTCTCGTCGAACACGACACGATTCCTTCACGGTGTGCTAAACTTACGTAATAATCTTCTGCTCGCGAAGTCTTCACCACGATGTGCCTGATAAATATTAAATTCAAGCCATTCCTCGACCGGAATAACGATTTCCACATAGCGTTCTATCTTGCGATGAACTTATGCGATATGTGCGTGCGTGCGTGCGTGCGTGCGTGCGTGCGTGCGTGCGTGCGTGCGTGTGTGTGTGTGTGTGTGTGTGTGTGTGTGTGTGTGTGTGTGTGTGTGTGTGTGTAAAGTTCTGTTTTTTTTTAATTTCACACATATGGAAAATTGTTTCGCTATACATATTTCTTGAGGAAATAATTCGAATATAAAGATTAGAAAATATAATAGGAAATATTTTATCTTGTACGTGCCTATGTAAGTTTAACACTAAAACTCGCATTTCTATCATTTGTTTCAGTTGATCTTATACAAATGCTGGAGTTTAACTTAACTGTGTCATTGCCAGCTGCTTCCCTATTGACAGTAGTTTTGGCATTAGTAGGTAAGTTTTATATACTTTAAGTACCTATATTTTTAATTATTTGTGTTGGTATATTTTATTCTTATTTTTCATGTTTTCTTGGAAAATGTTTCGTAGGAAATATTTTGATTGTATAGCATTTGCACATTCATTGGATTTTACATTTAAATTCAAATATTTCTTGGATTTTTTTCGTTATTATTCTTTGCATTTCAATTTTTTGGATGTATTCGATGAAAGATGATTCATTTTAGCTGGAATAATCAATCGGCCATGAATTCTCAAGTACGTTGAAGTTTGGTCGCGACGTGCGAGTTAAATATTAAATACCTTTTTACTAAATCACGACTACTCTTGCTTTCTCGAATTCTCGCCGGTAGGACGTTAGCTCGGTTACAAAGCTGATTGGCCGGGACGGTTAACCCAGGATTCTGCATAAATTTCTGATGAAGGCGCAACAGTTGGGTAACCCGCTCGGAGCCCATTTAACAGCAGTGGCGACGGCGTTGCGCGACACCCATTTCCATTTCGACCTGAATATCTTCTCCTCACGCTTCGCGTGTCCACTGAAACCAATGGTCCAATTGACCTGCATAAAATACGACGTCTCTGATCCTCTCGTCTATCCGATGGCTCTGAAAACATTGATAGAGTCTGAATTTACAATCTTTGTTTCCTCTCCTTGCATTGTGAGACTTTTGTACGCAATAAATTATTTCTCTCGAAAAGTATCTCTTTCAATTTGTTAATGAGTTTCAAATCCGTTTCTCTCACAAATTTCCACGCTATTCATATAATATATTTATTTTATTGAAATATTAGATATTGTTTTATTTTACCATCTAATCTTAGCTTTTCTATTTGCTTGAGCATAACTGCTCACTTATTACAAGCATAGAGAATTATA